ATATATATATATATATATATATATATATATATAATTTAAAAATCGGGATGTCAGTTGAATTCGTTATCTTGTTTTCAACCTTACGGTATCCTCCTGCGACTTTTTTAACAAGTGTCGTATTAACGTTTTATTTTTTTTTAAACTAATGAGCGCTATATTATATATTATATATGTTTATTTATATATTATATATTTTTATTTGTATTATATATAATATATGTTCATTTATTTTTGAAAATGATAGCGAATCATTAATTTCTTTTAAAAAATAAAGCGTTAAGAGGTCATTTGATAAAAATAGCCTGAACAAACCGTAAGGTTGAAACCAGGGTAGCGGATAAAACTGACCTCATGATTTTAAAGCTAAAGAGCCTTCATGTTATGTTTACTTTTATTTTATTTTTGAGAACTTTTTAATACCACTGTTTCCTAGTCTAATTCAACTAAGATCATATATATATATATATATATATATATATATATATATATATATATATATATTATATATATATATTTCTATATTTCCAATCCTTCCTTTATGCATGTTTCATTAAAAAAAGACTAAAGATAAGGGAAGCTTTCAATAAAAAAGAAAAAGCCAACTCTTAACAATATTAACTACGAACAAAGCCACAATGTGCTAACCGTATTCGGAAATTAAAAAAACATTCCTACCATACACTAAGACATATACAGAGCGCACACACTCAATTAAGCTGAAAAATCAAATCATTTTGATAATGGCTAAAGGTATAGCTGAAAGCGCTCGGAAATATAAAACATTTGGACAATTCTTACACACCCTTCGTCCAGAAAAGAAAGCTCTTGTTCGAACACAAAAAAATTAAATAAAAGCTTAACCGTAGTACCTTGTCTGTCGTTTTAATGAAACATGCGTAAAGGAAAGATTGCTGCCTAAATATATAATATATATATATATATATATATATATATATATATATATATATAGGCAGCAATCCCTTTTTTATACAAGTTTCGTTAAAACGACTGAAAAGGCAGTGCGGCTACTTCCCTTTTGCGTGCATGTCAAATATATATATATATATATATATATATATATATGCATGTTTCATTAAAAACGACAGACAAAGTACTACGGTTGAGTGTGTGCGTTCTGTGTATGTATCAGTATGTGGTAGGGATCAACTAAGCTGAAAATCGAATCATCCTTGATAATGGCTAAATGTATAGCCGAAAGCGCTCGGAAATATAAAACATTTGGACAGTTCTTACACACCCTTTGTCCAGAAAAGAAAGCTCTTGTCAGAACACAAGAAAAATTAAATAAAAAGCTTAACCGTAGTACCTTGTCTGTCGTTTTTAATGAAACATGAATATTTTTTTTAAGCATTTCATCCCAAACAAGGCGGGAAGCCACTAGGATGCAAGGGGTTACAGGAAATAGCAAGATCAGATAGGAGTGATAGAAGAAAGGATGAGGGTAGTGGATAGATTAAGGCAACTGGAGATGTCGATTGACATTACACTTGAATAGCTGGAGATTATAGCTCACAGGGAAACAGGAGAAGGGAAGGGTGTTCCACAGGCGGGAGGTGCGAGACATGAAGCTATTAGAGTAGAAGAGACGGCTACATTTAGGAGTTTCGACAGTGAAGGGGTGAGAGCGGATGCCAGCTTCGTAAGGCGCTTGAACTCGTGACGTCTGGGAACCAGCGAATGCAGCTCATCGGAGCAATTTCCATGAAAGTATTTGTAGAACAGACAGAGGGAGGCGACGGCGCGTCTGTGAGAAAGTGACTGTAGACGAGATATATGTGTGTGTGTGTGTGTGTGTGTGTGTGTGTGTGTGTGTGTGTGTGTTATAAGTTTGTTGTGTTCAGGGAAGCATCCACGCGTAGAAATTGTATTTTTGCAACATAGGGAAAAAATATGTTTACTCGTTTGTGTAACTTTTCGACAGTGGAGTAATCCAGATCTATATATAATATTTGACTTTACTGTCAACTGGAGCTCTATTTACGTTTATGACAACTGGAGCTCTATTTACGTTTATGACTTGTGTAAAATGATCATCTATATCTTTTCGACTCTGTAAGTCGATTCTATATCTGCCTTTTTATCTATTGTTTAAACCGGACATATGTCTACCATTTAGACACTTGTGTCAATCATAACTACGTCTACCTTTTAGACAATCATGTAAAACGGACCTATGTATGCCTTTTAGACTCTCGTGTCAATCAAACCTATGTCTAACTTTTAGACCAAGGGTCGGCAACTTACGGCTCGCGGGCCGGATCCGGTCCGCGAAGGCATTTTGACCGGCCCGCGAGCCTGATTACCAATGACTCTATTTTTAACATCAGAGACGAGGCTTTCGAATTAGACTATCTGCCAGTTATCTTTCATGAGACTTATTTTACCAAGTTGCGTTGCCTACGTTTAATGTCAAATAATGGATACATATTTGTTATGACCCTTGGCTACATTAAAAGATAACAGAAGCGAAAGGAACGATAAAATGAAAGAGGCCAGGGAGGGACTTAAAATGCGAGGTAGCAGAAATCTAAAGACAGTTAAACATACGCGCATTATACATACATGCCTCATGAATCTGTGGATGATACCGCATGTGTACGTACGTAAGTGTATATGTTTGCAACTATTTGTACTCGTATGTATGGGTATATGTGCTTCGTTTTTGTTTGATGTGTGTGTGTGTGTGGTTCGTTTGTGGAACAATTTTCAATAACAGTTTCAAACCTACACGTCATAATTTCATCCATTTCACTTCGGTTGATTTTTTTCACTTTGAAGTATTTTGACGTTCCTTGAGGAAAAGTAATTTTTGTTAGGTGTTTTTTAATTTTAGATTTTCTTTTGTTTTTCTGATTTCTCAGTGTTTATTTTCATTATGGTTTTAAATATTTAGGTTGACAGGGGGTCTGCATATGTAATTTTCCTTAAGTTTTCATTAATGGCCTTCGTCCGGCCCGCGACCCGTCATTATAACACGATCCGGCCCGCGGGGTCGAATGAGTTGCCGACCCCTGTTTTAGACACTAGTGTAAAACGGACCTATGTAAGCTTTTTAGTCTCTTGTGCAAATGCGATCTATGTCTATCATTCAGACTCGGGTGTAAACCAGGCATATGTCTACCTTTTAGATACTAGTGTAAAACGGGGCAATGTTTGTTTTTAGACTCTAGTGTAAACCGGATCTATGTAAAACAGGCCTATATCTACCTTTTACTCTCTAGTGTAAAACGGACCTGTCTGCCTTTTGGACTCTGTTGTTAACCGGACGCTTGTCTTATCTTTTTGTCACTCCTGATAACCGGAAAAGAAAGAGAAAAGGAAAAGAAAGCGTGTGTCGACAGAAAGATTGGCGGAAAGAGAGAAAGAAAGAATCGAGAGAGGAAAGAGAGAGAGAAAAGAGAGAGAGAGAGAGAGAGAGAGAGAGAGAAAACGAAAGCGAAAGGTTAAGATCGAAAGAAAATGTAAAAAAAAACGCTTATAATTAGAATCGTAATATCTGGGACATAAGGAGGAAAGAGTGTTTGGAGAACTTGACACTCACATGGCATATTGAAAGCAAGAGGGAAAGAGAATAACCTTCCTAACGAAATTGTATGAAAGCATAGTAAAGCAGAGTTGGAGGATTCACCAGGAGACAGTTATTGCTAAAAGCTACGATAGATAGAAAGTTGCGGAGAGCAATGATTGTCTATATCCTGAAGAGATGCCTCACATGAAAGAAAAAGAATAAACCGCTGACCATCTAATGATGCATAGCCGATATCTTGAAAGCAATACTCAGTTTCAACAGTTTGCCTGTGAACACTTTGCCTACGTATAATATGCCTACCAGACATCGGCCATTATACTTACGAATATCATGGCTACCAGAAATTATGGTTACTGGACATGATGCTTAAAGGACTATAAACCTGACATGGCTTATAGGGGAAACGTTTTTATTTCATTTTCATATATTTAATTTCTTTTGATTTACATTCATTAGAAACTTAAAATAAAACTGAACATAGACCTTGATGGCGTCAGCTCGCAAATTGGTATCTCTGCTGATGACAACCATTTACTCCTGTCTCGACTGTAAGCCTGATCAAATTGATAAGCTCAAATTGGCGGTTGATCTAAAAAAAAAAAAAAAGAAAAAAAAAAGATAGTGAACTGAAGCAAAGAATCACTTGCCGATTTTTAACGCCTCCCAAACAAAACTGGTCTACATTAATCATCTGAGCGACACCATTCTACCTTACATCCGCATGGTTGATGTTAACCTTCTGGAGAGTGACTCGTTGTGCCTTCTTGGGGACGACAGTATTGGCTGCCATGAAGTGGAAAGACTATATTGAATCCATTGCTAGAAAAAAAAAAAGTTGGTTCACTGTGTTGCGCTAGATATTTTTTCTCTCCTGAATCTATCTTTCATACCTATAAGTTTTTAATATTACTATTTCCATTTTTGTTAATCTGTTTGGTGAAGGTTACATCTACTCAGATTGGCAAATAAATGCATGAAATAATTCTATTTCAGTAAAAAAAAAAATTAAAATTCTTTTAGTAACATTTTTACTTCTGAATTTATTCGAAAAAACGCGTATTTAAATATTAAGCACGAAATACAACTGATACAGACGATTCTATAATTTTATTTTTGATTACATAGATTTTATGATTTAGAATGAGTTCTTTTCTAGGGTACTTTATGACTTCGGATGAGTTCTTTACTCGTAAGACTTTATGACTTCGGATGAGTTCTTTACTAGGGTACACTTTATGATTTAGAATGACTTTATGATTTTGGATTAGGGTACCTGGACTTATGACTTCAGATGAGTTCTTTTCTTTAGACTTTAGAGGATACCTAGACTTTATGATTTATGACTAGGGTCGGATGAGTTCTTTACTAGGGTACCTACACTTTATGATTTAGAATGAGTTCTTTACAAGGGTACCTAGACTTTATGATTTTGGATGAGTTCTTTACTAGGGTACCTGGACTTTATGACTTCAGATGAGTTCTTTTCTAGGGTACGTAGACTTTAGAGTTCTTTACTAGATACCTAGACTTTATGATTGCGAATGAATTCTTTACTAGGGTACCCAGACTTTATGACTTCGGATGAGTTCTTTACTAGGGTACCTACACTTTATGATTTAGAATGAGTTCTTTACAAGGGTACCTAGACTTTATGATTTTGGATGAGTTCTTTACTAGGGTACCTAGACTTTATGACTTCGGATGATTTCGTTACTTGGTACCTAGACTTTATAACTTCGGATGGTTCTTACTGAAGCTTTACAAGTGTCGAAGAGTTACTGTAGACAGGGGAGGCAATTCGAACTGATTTTGTCACCACAGGTATAAGGCAAACTAATTTAGCCTGTTTTATAAAGAATTATTTGATTCTGTAAATGCTGCGTTACAAATGACGTGCCAATAACGTTCACGTTCACGTTTTTATAACGAAACATAGCGGTCGATTTTCCTACATACTTTTGTTTTTTTTTGCATCAATGTAGACTCGTGTTTATTCTTTACCCCGACTCTAACACTTGCACTTTGCTTGGAAACCATGCCTTGGGGGGTAAGTGTAAGTAAATTAGGCGAGGAGTTTTACAAAATCGATTGAGCAGTTACAACCACTGCGATATCAACAATTAAGAGAGGGTCCCGTGCACAATGGCCACTGGTGACCATTCGGAGTTATGAATGTGAGTACGGCGAGAAATTCAAGGGTCCGCTCAGAAATATGACCGAGATTAATAGAAATGCCGAAAAGTCATAATAATACTTTTTTTTTACTTTCTCAGAAGAGTAAATGTGTATTTACTTGACCCCCCCCCATTGAGTCAGGTTGTGACACAAGGTCAGTTTTTAACGTGGGGACCCGAATTATTTTCACTGGGCCGCTGGTCCAAGCTGGTCCAAGCTTGTCTTAGCTGGTCATAGCTTGTCCAAGCTGGTCAGAGCTGGTCTAAGCTAGTCATAGCCGTGATACCACCAGCGCAGGGACGGATCCCTACACCAGGTAAGAGTAAATAGAAACACTCAAAACCTCGGTCACGATGACTTAACATTTCATGCTAGTTGACAGGTTCTGAATTAGTTTTGTCTACACAATTTCGCTCACAACGCTTGGGTCAACGCGTGTTTTTTTTTTTTTTTCAGGCACTTTCCAAAGGGTACTGCACGCTTGGATCGCCTCTCCATGTCGATAATTCGACCACGATGAGTTTCTCACTCGGCTACCATGGTCGGAAAGCGAATGTCATAACCATTTGGCTGCGTGTCCATCTGTAAAAGGTAGTCAGCGCAGGCTGAGCTCGCCAACAGGGCAATCGAAGGAAACGGATTTCGCACTGGATATCTTTTGTGTAATTCCCCCGTTTTCTTTTCCTACTTCTTTACACTTATTCACACTATTGTCGTCATTTTCGTTGTTCTTATTATAACGTTTCGGTCGTTGTGGCTTCCGGCCTTCGTCAGGTGTATAGCGATCCGAGCAACCTGCAGGGAATTCCGAAGTGAATCAAATGTAAATTGATGAGATCTGCGCTTAAATTAAAAAAAAAGTCTAGATACCATAGAGAAGAGCGATATTTATTTATATATATTTACAAAATGTGGCACAAGGCCAAAATGGGGAATAGGGAAAAGGGCGGTCTTCTTCTGTCTTAACTTTAAATTTAGCTAGTCACAAACACTGACCCAGACATACCACAATATTCACCAAAACAACTTATTCCTACTATCTTTCTTATTACAGTCACCATAATACCTCATTGTCTCTATGAAAGTCCTAACTAGTTTATTGTCTGTGGCGGGGAAGGGGGATAAAACAACAGAAGAGCTCATCCGAATAATTACCATGAAAGTATTTATAGAACAAAACAAAGAGAGGCAACCTTACGGCAGTGGGCAAATGACTGAAGCCGAGCCGCCAGATCAGGACCGATAATATTGCTGATTCTTTAGATTTTATTAAGAAACTCAAGGTAAATGGCAGAGACGCCGGGCCATATGTAGTAGCAATGGACGAATGGTAGACTTATAGATATATATGATAGATTCTGGAGAGGTAAATTGTCTCGAACGAAGAACAAACGACCGGAAAGTGACGAGAAAATAAGGATAGCTCACGTTAAAATGGGTGTCGTTGATATAATTATACGTATCTTCAAGCTGAGAGAACTTAAACCTAAAGGAGTATATCAAGTAATTGATTCTAAATGATCAAATTTAATCCGAGAATATATCGTCACGAAGTGATGGATGAATAGAAAAGATTAATGGCGGTTTGGAAATGACTGATTACGACAATTATAACATCAATGAATGTCACTCAAGAGAAATAGTTTCTTCCAGGACGAATCCATATATCTGCTTGGCTTTCGTTTACCCTGTTTTCTACAAAACAAACCTCTGCAGTTTTAGTTTTATATATATATATATATATATATATATATATATATATATATATATATATATATATATATATATATATAAGTCGCAGGAAAATATATTTGATTATCAAAATATATATACCTGAATAAATTATTGCTAACATAACTCCTGAAAATTTTATAGGTTCTCTATTTAAATTCCATAAATTTTAAGCTAATGATTTAATAAGCTCCTTACGAGTTACACGAGTAATAACCATGGAAATTCCCATATTGTATCGGTAAATATTTGGTGATGGGTATGAATGCAGGTAAGAAGTAAGAGTGTAAAAATGACAAGATTAAAAATTTCAATGAAGCAGACGTTAAACACGTGAGGGTATTATTGGCTCCTCCATATTCCTTTTCTTTCTTTTTTTTTCTCTTTTTTTATACGTTCGTTTCCGTCACTAATAAACAAACGGTGTCTCTGATATATTATTTTCTTCTTTTTTCCGTGCCATCGAAACTGAACAGTTCATTATTTATAATAGGTAACTGCATGGCGTAGAGCAAGGGTTAATTAACAGAGGAAGAAGCAGAATTAAAATATGATGCCTGCCGTAGATGTTAGAAGTACATTTATTTCTTACACACACATATCTATCTATCTATCTATCTATCTATCTATCTATCTATCTATCTAATATATATATATATATATATATATATATATATATATATATATATATATTTGTGTAATTAGGCAGCAATCCTTCTTTCATGCGCACTTCATTGAATACGACAGAAAAGGTGCTTTTATTTAGTTTTTTTTATACAATTTCTCATGCGATCTAATAATTTTTTCTTTTCGGATTATAAATTATATAAAAACTGTCCGAATGTTCTTTTTATCATAGCGCTTTCGGCTATACATTTAGCCATTTTCAAGGATTATATTTTAGCTTTTAAATTAAGAAATAGTTTGTTGTATGTATGTTCTATAAAATGTTTTCATTTTTCAAAAGAACAGTCAAGATATTATGTCCATGTTCAAAGTTAATATTATTAAGTGTTGGTTTGTTTGTTTTTATTAATAAGGCTTCCATTTTTTTAACCTTTTTTTTGGCATGTAGATGATGCTATTGTATTAGTGTTGTCAACAAGTAAGTTACGAATAGTGCCAGGTAGATCTCCATGAATATTTCAATGAGATCTAATTGAGCTATGGTCAGAAAGGTGTAGAGTGAGTTTGCGTGTCAAACATGTTGTAGTGTGGCCTATATAATTATTTAAGAATTTTGAGTGAACAGGATTACAATTCTTTAATGGGCATTTAAATTCGTAAATAAGAAAAAAGAACATTCGGACAGTTTTTACATAATTTATCATCCGAAAAGAAAAAAAAAATTATTAGATCGCATGAGAAATTGTATAAAAGACTAAATAAAGCATCTTGTCTGTCGTATTCAATGAAAAGTGCATATATATATATATATATATATATATATATATATATATATATATATATATATATAGGCTGAAAAATGATTCAAAAATAAAGAAAAAAAGTTTTTCCTACGATTTACCGTTTGCTTTAAACTTATGGAAAGGAAAAATTGTCCAAATACACCTATGCCCACACACACACACACACACACACACACACACACACACACACACACACACACAGATATATATATATATATATATATATATATATATATATATATATATGATGGAAAATGATCCAAAATGAAGAAAAAAAAATCTCCCTAAGATTTACACTGTTTGTTTTAAACTTGTAGAAAGGAAACATTGCTGGCCAAATACACCTATGTCCATCCAACACACACACACACACACACACACACACACACACACACACACACACACACACACACACACATATATATATATATATATATATATATATATATATATACTTTTATACATATTTTTGTGTTATTAAGTTTAAACTAAGTTTACGGTAGATGGCGCCATGTTGCAATGTAGACTAGGTAACATTTATCATTCGTGTATATATTTGAAATTAGTCTGTCTTCAAAGGCGTGTAGTAGTAAGCTAACTGAGAAGTGTTCCGTTTAACAAAGACAGAATATTCATATCGTGAGCAGGCAGATATGATTTTTATATACAGTTGCGCAAAATGTACATCACAGGAGGACTTTTGTTGATGGTTTATTGCATAAAGTGCTTATCTATTGTCTGTCTCTTCAGTTTTGTTTACGGATGAAGTAACATTTGGAATAAATGAAATAACCAGCATTTGTGGGCGCATCTGAATCCCCATGGTGCAATACAGGCTAGACACCAGTATCAGTTTACGATTAATGTGTGGGCTGGAATTGTAGATGACTGTCTGGTATGTCCATATGTTCTCCCAGCACGTCTTACAGGAGATGTTTATAGGGCTATATATATATATATATATATATATATATATATATATATATATATATATATATTTAATTGATGAATATCAAACACTTAAAATTACATAGGTAATAATTTTTTTGTTTCATGAGGCTACAATAGTTAGCCTCATTCATCAGACCTCTAGACTTTTTAAAAAAATTTTTAGTTATTTAATTTTTTTTTTTTGAGGCGGGTAGGAGCCTCTAAGATGAAAAGCATTTAGAATTATACAATCGGAAGGGTGCAGTCTTCCATCAGGACATCGGTAAACTCACCTAGACCCGTCAGAAATTGGTAGAACTTGACTGTGATGCATTGCTACCCACGTCGTGCTCACCTGACGTTGAACATGAGGGTCAGCGTTTACAGCGTTTACTTTATTTGTTTAGAAAGGAAGGGAAAGGAAAGAAAGAAGAAAAGGATTGAAAGAAAAAAGACCAATGAAAGAAAGGAAAAAGAGAGAAGGAAATGGAAGAAAGGCAAAGAAAGAAAAGAGAGAAACGAAATAAAAATTATGAAAAAAAAAAGAGAAAAAATAGAAAAAAGAAATAAATAAAAATAAAAAAAAATGAAAGAAAAAGAGAGAAATATTAAAAAATGGGAAGAAATTAAACAGAAAATACAAAAAAAAGAAAAGAGATATGAAAAAGACGAGAAAGAAAAAAGCAAACAGAAAAATTAGGAGACAATTTAAACTGAAGAGAACGACTAAAAAAAAAGGGAAGGAGTAAAATGAATTGAAGTAAGGAAGGAGACGAATAAATAAATAGCAAAAAAAAAAAAAAGAATTTTTAAAGAAGCATATTAAAATGAAAAGCAGAAAGCCTAAAAGAAAAAAAGATAAAAAAAAAACAAGAGAATCATGCATGAGAAAGAAAGGCTAGATAAAAAAAAAGATGAAGGAGAAATGAAATGCAGTAAACCTAAGAGAAGGAAAGAAAGAAAGAAAGAAAGAAAGAAAGAAAGAAAGAAAGAAAGAAATGGAAAAAAAAGAAGAAAGCAATAAAACTGACCAAGAAAAGAAAGTTAGAATATATCCGATAAATGAAAGAAAGGAAGAAAGTGTAGGGGGATCAGGCAAGCATGAAAGAACGAAGAAAGAAAGAAAATACAATATAAAAGGAAGGAAAGAAGTGCAGCAAAAGAATGAATAAAAGCAAGCAAGACAGAAAAGCAAGCAAGCAAGACAGAAGAAAAAAACAATTAAACGAGCAAGGAGAAACGAAGAAAGAACGGAAAAATAAATATACGATAAAAGAAAGATCAAAGCTGCAATCACAAAAGAAAGAAAGAAAGAAAGGAAGAAAGAAAATGAAAGAAAGAAAAAAAAGAACGAAACAATTAACCAAGAAAGAACGATGAATGAAGAATAAAAAGAAGAGATGAAAAAAGTACAACGTAAATGCAACAAAAGGAAAGAAAGGAAGAAAGGAAGGAAGAAAGAAAGAAAGAAAGAAGAGAGAAAGAAAGAAG